CCTCGTCTCCCAAAGTGTTGGGATTACAGGCATGAATCATTGTACCCAGCCAAGAGACAATGTTTCAGTTGGAGTCAGAAGGCAGGAAAACCCCTCAAGGGGATTGACCGAGAGTCATTCTTGATTCTCATATACCACATATAAGCAAAACTTATAGCTTCTATTAAAAAATACATCCAGAGATTTCACCGTTACATAATATAACCATGTAACAAAGCTGCAATTGTACCCTTTACATTTATAATATAATATATATATCTCCAATGTCCTACCACTTCCCAACATCTCTACTGCTATCCTAGTCCTAGTCACCACTACCTTATTCCTAAATAAGTGTCATGGCCACCTAATTGATCTTTCTGTTTCTGCTTCTGACTTTGTAACACTTCTATTCCTCCACCTATTATCCACAAACAGCCAGAGTGATTCTCTTAAACATGAGTAAAATCAAGTCACTCTACTCAAAACTCTCCAATGAAGGCATTTATTTGACTAAGAGTAAGAGTAAAAGCCAAAGTCCATAACATAGTCTATAAAGTCTTACAATCTAGCTCTCAGCAACCCTCTGATGTGATCTCTCCCACGGTGCTCTAGACACTGGTCTTCTTGGTGTTTTTAACCAAATCATGTACATTTCTATTGCAAGCCCTTTGTAACTGCTGTTCCCTCTGCCTGCAATGCTCCTTCCCCATGTTTCAGTTATCTTAGTGACTTAAAACAACAATTTAGTAATTCTGATTTCTTTTTTTTCCTTTTGAGACAGCGCCTCGTCATCCAGGCTGGATTACTGTGGTGCCATTCCGGCTCACTGCAGCCTTGACCTCTCAAGCAATCCTCCTACCTCAGTCTCCCCAGTAGCTGGTACTACAGGCATTCGTTACCATGACTGGTTTAAACTTTTTGTAGAGACAAGGTCACACTATGTTGCCCAGGCAGGTCTCGAAGTCCCAGGCTGAAGCAATTCTCCTGCCTCAGCCTCCCAAAGTGCTGGGATTATAGGTGTGAGCCACCATGCCTGGACTAATTTAGTAATTCTTAAAATTCTATCAATTAACTAGATGGTTATTTTATTGATTTCACCTGGGCTTATTTACGAGGCTGCAATCTGCCAGCAGTTTGACAGAGGCTAAAAGGCCTAAAATGGTCTCACTCACACATCTCAAAGCTTGGTGCTGGCTGCTGGTAGGCTCACTATCTTTATATGGTCTCTCCTATAATTCGATACTCTACTCCAGGCTTCTGTAACATGGCGGAAAGAGCATTCCAAGAGGGGAAAGGTAGAAGATGAAAGGTCTTTGAAGTCTAGGATTTGGAAGTCACACAATGTCTTTTTTACATTTGGTCAAAACAAGTTATAAGGCCAACCCAGATTAAATGGGGTGGGGAAACAAACTACCTTTTGATGAAAAGAGCTGCAAAATATTGCAGATTTCATATAACACACCCCAGATATCTACATGGCTCACTCCCTTCATATGTTTGCTCATACGTCACCGTATCAGTGAGGCCTTCCACGATTCCATTTTAAAGTAAACTATCCAAGCCGGGCTCGGTGGCTCAGCCTGTAGTCCCGCACCTTGGGAGGCTGAGGTGAGTGGATGGCCTGAGCCTGAGGATTCGAGACCCGCCTGGGCAACTTGGCGAGACGTCATATCTATGATAATTCAAAAAATTAATGGGGTGTGGTAGTGCGTGCCTGTAGTTCCAGCTACTTGGAAGGCTGAGGCTGCGGTGGCCGGGAGTGGCCACTGCACTCCAGTCTGGGCGACTGAGTGAGACTCTAACTCAAAAATAAATAAATAAATAAAATAAAATAAAATAAAAAATAAAGTAAACTACCCTTTTCTCACCTTGGCACTTACTATCCCATGCTATACTTCTCTATAGCACCTATCACCACTGGACATTGCATATTTACTTATTGCTTATTATGTCATCTTTCACACAGTGTATGTTCCATGAGGTAGGAACTTTTTTTGTTTGTTTCATTACTATATCTTCAGCACCTTGTATTAGTAAGCACTCAAACAATATCTGGTGAATAAATTCTATCGAGTATATGTTATGAATTAATAACGCAAGATCCAAAGTAATTCAAAAGAGCATAATATAAATATTACTGTTGAAATGTCAGAGGCTTTATAAGTTTTTACTTATTTTGTGATTTTTGAACAAAACATTTTATTATGCTTCAGTGTGCCAATCTATAAAGACTTTAGCCATGTGTTTCTGTTTCTTGGATATAATGAGAATTTTTTAAAAATTTAGATATATATTATTTCCCTATTCTCTAAAACCAGTACTTTAAATTCTTTATTAAAAGTTTCTGCAGGGCCTAGAATGTACATGGTCTTGGTAGTTTGCCAATGTGGCACCAAATGGAAAAGATGCAGGATTTAGCTATATAATAATAATTTATGTAATATACCTGTGAGTATAGTGTCATCCAAGTTTTGCCTACGCCAGTATGTCCTATGTTTATCACTTCTTCAGTAAGGCATGAAAAGAAGAAGAGGTTAAAAGAAGAAGTCATCTTGTCAGATTCTATTAAGTCAGAGTTAAAGTTAGAGAAAAAAATCTAAGTAGAAAACCCACAAGAAAAAAATGACGATAGTTTATTAGATATATAAGTAAGTACATATATGTGTGTAAAAATGCTCTGACCCACTTTTAAATCTACTCAATATAAACAAAATAAATTGAGTGAGTGCTATAGAGAGAAGATGCCTACTAGAAGAGATGGTGGTACTGGAGTCACTGTTACAACCATTCCAATTAACTAAAGGCACTGTTATCAGGTCTAAAATCAGTTTGCCTCCAATGTGGAAATATGATTAATTACCTATTAAAAATCCTCACTGTTTGCTATATTAGAATAATAAAACCAAAGACACTAATTTAAGTGAGTAGTTAATGACAAAAGAATCTTCTTCCTCAGAGAAACTATGGGTATGAGGGTTAGTGGTGGGAGTGGGGAGTTCTGCTTTTAATTGTATATCTATTAGACTTTTTTTAAACACACGCATGTAGTACCTCTAGAAAAAAGTAAAAATCAAAACATTAATTCAATACAAAAGGAATTAATTTTCTCTATGGTTCTAGACATAGTAAATAAATCTAAAAAATATTTTCATAAATGACATTTTATATAGACTACTGTATGTAGCTGAGAAAAAAAATCAGAATAAATTAATAAGCATTCTATGTGTGTGTTCAAGTATCTATATTTTCTGGCCTATGTGGAAACCCATGCCCCTCCCAAATTAATAAGATAGGACATCATTTCAATGAAGATAGTTTGGCCCAATAATATGCTATTTTAGGCAGAAGGTAATCTCAAAATAAAGAGCACAGAACACTTACTGGTTTGAAAAAAAGATGGTTCAAAAACAAATAAATAATTAAAAAAAATAAAGACAAGGTCTTGCTCTGTCACTCATGCTGGCATGCAGTGGCACAATTATAGCTTGCTGCAGTCTCAAATTCTTGGGCTCAAGTGAGCCTCCCATCTCTGCCTCCCTAGAAGCTAGAACTACCGGTGCACACCACACCTAGGTAGTTAAAAAACCCATTTTTTTGTAGAGGCAGTGTCTTGCATTTTGTACAGACTGGCCTCAAACTCTTAGCCCCAAATGATCCTCCCACTTTGGCCTCCCAAAGCACAAATTTTGTTATTTTAAAGCAACCAAAATCTCCTCAAGATTTATTTTACTTATACCAAATGGATTTAGAGATAGGACTGAAACAATTATCCATACATACTTTTATATTAATGAGCTGCTGCTGAACTATTACCATTGTTTCTGATAGGCTTTCTTGTCAGAACTCCTTCATATACCTACAGTAAATCTAACCTGACATAAATTTTCACTAACATTTAATATTTCTTTCATATCAGGAAAAAAAAAGGCTAAGTAATGTTGATTTGATTCCCAGTATTGGGAACCTTCTCATTCAAGAAAAGGAATTGTTTCTCTTCTGCACTAAGAAATACAAACACTGCTATTATAAAGGTTTGATGAATCAAACAGCTTCAAGAAAAAGCAGATACACATTTAGAAAGTCTAATAGTAGTAAACAGCTTCAAAGGAATGGATATAAAAGGACAGCCAGGAAACTCAGCTTCTGGGTTGAGCACTTCCATGAGCTAGCTGTGTGTTCTGGACAACTCATTTAATCTCTTTAGGTCTAATTTTTTCATTTAGAAAAAAAGGGAGGGATAAGTCCTGGTATCTTGAAAATCTTGGAAGATTTTTGAGGTTTTAACAAGTTAAAAAGAAAAACCAAAAAAACTACAGTTTTGTATTATTGGTAAAATGCCAATTGTTACAACCCTTTGACCAGAAAGTCCATGTCTAAGAATTATCCCATAAATATACTGGCATATGTGAGGGATATATATGTGGTCAAGGATGTTCACTGGCATGATTTGTAGTAGCAAAAGGTCTGTAACAAAAATAACCAAATGTTCAGTAGAAAGCTCTTTAAAGAAACTGTAAATATCCACACAATGGAATACTATGGAGCCATTTAAAAGAATGAGGAAATAATATGGAACAATCTTCAAAATACATGGTTATGTGAATGAAGCATGGCACAGAATGGTGTATATAGTGTGTTCTCATCCCAGTGTTTTAAAAAGGAACAGTAACATAGACAAACACACAGATATGTATATGTATAAACACACATATAAATTTTTGTTTATGCAAAGAATATTTCTAATTGAATATACAAGAAACTGGTAACAGTTGTTGCTACGAGGAAAACTAGCAGTTTAAGGTGGAAGAAAGATTTAAACTTTCATCTCAAACTACTTTTCCACTGTCTGATTTTATCGTGTATAACTTTTTAACCAAATAAAGAAAAAAAACACAAAACTTTTATTTAAAAATATTTCTATTCCCCACACTTTAAATTAGCCAAAGAGCCTATTTACTAAATAAGTTATCTTCTCTGACAAAAAAATTATTATTTTATACAAATATTTTTCAAATTACCTTGAAAAGCCTGGGAAACACATCTGCTGGTTGTCCACGAATTACGAACAGACGAGAGTTTAATTTTCGTAGATTGGCATCAAGATCCTCAAGACACTGAAGCAAAAATCTAGAGAGAATAAAATATTATTAAAATTCTTTAAAAATATATATTTAGAAGATATAAAGTATTACAAAAACTATGCTATTCTAAAAGTTGAAATGCCAACCCCTCATCGTTTTGCCTCTTACTGATAAATAAATTGCTATTTCTAGAAACCAAGCTAATAATTTTTAAAAACTATAGCACAAGTTTCCCAGAATTTGAATGAAGTTCTGAATAAAACCACTAGTTCTCATTAAGTATAAGGGACTTATCAAAAGTTTATTTAGGGAACATAAAAATTATGTAAAGAAACATAAGAACAATTACATAAATTTCCTTCATTGTTTAAATTTGATGAAATAAAACATTTTCTTTATGAAAATAGCTTTTCACACAGAGAGGATACCTTGAAAAATCCAGAACATCATCTACTAGAGGAAAAAATAGAAACATTCTATTTAATGACTCAGAGTGAGTGAATAAGAATATAAGTACTAGGTGATATTGTAATCATCTAAGAGAACAAAAGCATAACACCCATTTTCTCCAATCTAATTAAAGAAAAATAATCTAAAAAAATAGATGTTGAATTATATGATACTAATATCTCAAAAGAAAATAAAAAGTTTCATGGAGCAGGGGATGCTACAGACATTTTCAATGAAATAAGTAGTAACAAGGCTTACACATGACAAACACCTAGGAAAATTCTAGGGCACCACCAGAATGCTTCTTGTACATCTTCTATTGTAACAAAATAGAGCATTCCCCAAGAGCAAACTCAAGAGATGCCACTCCTGGAGTATCCAACATCATCGTTTCCCTCATGTTAATAATTTTCATTGAGATTCTGTTCCTCTCAGTTGTACATATATCTTACTTCTTCTCTAGTTTTTTCTTTTACATTCTTGATCTTAAGATTAAATATCTGGCTGCCTTTTACCCAGGCCATGTGCTCTCTGAGAATGGTGATTATGTCTTACTTGTGAGGAAGAGTGGGTAGGAGACAGGAAAAGGTAATATTCCAGAACTGCACTATCCAATGTGGTAACCAAAAGCCACCTGCAGACATTCAAATTTAAATTAATTAAAATTTAAAATTCAGTTCCTCAAGTCACACTTGCCAAATTTCAAGTCTCAACAGTCACAGTGTGGTTAGTGGCCACCGTACTGGACAGTATAGATGCAGAACAATTCCATTATTGCAGAAAGTTCTACTAGATAGGACTGTTCTAGAAGATTGCTTGAACTAGATCATTTTGTTCCCTTTGCCCACTCTGATCCCATCATTTCACCAAAAATGTCCTGTTGATTTTTGACAGCTGTAGTTATTAGTGACATTAAGTATACTAGTGATGTCTGATACTTCTTCCCCCTGGACAGTCACAGTACTATATTTATAAGGAAGCTAAAGACATCCCACCATTTCACCTTAGGAAGTCTCACAGGTGTCCTCAAACGAATAGGAAGCAAACCTGCATCTCCTTACGTTTATATTTCATTACATCCCCTTTCTGTCTTGGTTTGGAGTCACCTCCCTAATACCTGATGCCCACCTCCCTGACCACTACTAATGTGTGAATACTTCAGGGGAGAAGACTGCTGCTGTTAGATGCTTAGTGACACAAAAGCATCTAAGTGTCACAAAATTATCCACAACTATAAATAATTTATTATGTCAAGTGATACACATTTATTGGGAAGCATCTAATTTTATGTATTTGTTTGGCAAGAAGTTTTAGACAGAACAAAGATCAATGAATTTTTAGACATCAAAAATTAAAAAGCTGAATGAACTAGCAATTTAAAATTTTCTTAAATTGAAACTAGTACAAAACTAAAATGTCCTGGAGAGATAGCCCAAGGCAAAAACAATCCCCTAACTTCTGTTATACCATCAGTTTCAGCATCTTCTCTATTAGAGTTGGTAGTAAGGAGCAAGAGTTCTCTATATTCACCTTATTTGGTGGAAATGATTCTATGTGGTATAAGAGGTCAATGATAGTAAGATGGGAAGAGAAAAAAACTAAAAGGACACGATTAATTCATAAGATGAATAATTAAGTCTGGAGTTCCTTTCTTGTTAAAAGTCTGAATAAGCTTTGTGTGTGTTTGTCAGCACAATTACGGCTCGCTTCAGCCTCAGACTCCTAGGCTAAAGTAATTCTCCCTCCTCAGTCTCTAAAGTAGCTGGGACCACAGGTGCATGCCACCATACCCAGCTAATTTTTTATTTTTTTGTAGAGACAAGGTCTTACTATGCTGCCCGGGCTGGTCTTGAACTTGTGAGCTCAAGCAATCTTCCTGCCTCAACCTCCCAAAGTGCTGGGATTACAGGCATGAACCATAGCAAATAGGAAAGGTTGAAATTTCTTAATGCTTTCAATTAACTTTCTATGAAACAAACAAATATGCAAATGATATGGACTGAAGTAATATATTATAATTGGAAAGGTTTTACAACCTAAGAATTTCATTTTGGCACTTTATGAAACAAAGGAACAGAAACTGTATTTAAATACAGTGTTTTACTTTCATAGATGTTATTGGTAGTATTTTTCTTCCATACTCTGATGTTTTTCTTCCAGAGATGTCATAATTTACATCTCTCATTTCACATAAAAATTGAAGAGGTTCAATAAGATTAGAAAAATAGAGACAATTTACAAAATAATATAGGTATTTTTAATCAAACATTTTAAGTAGAAAATATCTGTGAAGAAAAGGAATATAGAAGGATGGAGTAGAACACACTCTGTGTTGCTGATCTTTATCATAAGATTTTTTTACACTGTTGCTTTAAAACCATACACCTATATTATTTTGATTAAATGAAATGTACACCGCATGTATCTACTTATGCTTCATGTGCATAAGAAAACAACTAGAAAAATGCTAACCAAGCTATTAGTAATATTGATCCTTGGGGAGGAGGAGTTTGGGAAGACAGAAACATGCTTTTTTCTTAACTTCATAAAAATGTTTAAAATATATAATTAGTAAACATTCCTTCAAAGCAAAACACAAAATAAGACAAACCATATCTACTGTAAACCTGGTTTAATTCATGGTGAACATCTTTTCAAAGCAATAAACATATTTCCACAGCACCAATTTTCAGTTTCATACTATTCTATTGCATGGAGGTCCTATAATTAAGCCAGTCCAGCAACAAATTGCTTACTGTCCTTCAATTGATCTTGAAAGGTTCTATTTTATTTTTTCATGTGTAAAACTGGAATAGTAATAGGACACATTTACAGCACTGTTTGTGAGAATTAAATGATACATGTGAAGTGCTTAGAACAGTATCTGCTTGCACATAGTAAGTACTATTATATAAATGTTACCTATTACTTTCTTGTCCCCTCATTTCCACCCACTTCTAATCTTGCTACAATAATTCTAGTTCTTATTCTTTCTTGCTTGTATTACTTACTGCAATGCCTCAAAACAGAACTTCCTACCAAGAGTCTCTCTCCAGTCTAATTCATTATATATACAATACCAAATCTTTATGGGACACACTTTCCTGTATAAAGGTCATCAAAGACTCATTCCCTATATAACAAAGAACAAATTAATTTTGCTTGGCCACAAGCCTAGGGTTCCAGGTTCATTTCCTATCCCACTTCCCTTTTCTTTTTTTCTTTCACCAAACCAAACTACTTTTCTCCCACACATCCAGTCTCCTGGAATTTGGCCCATGTTTTCCTGTAATACCTTTCCCAATTCCCATCTCTTCAAGTTCATATTCATATCCCTTTAACCCTAAGGCTTCCAGTTAAAAGTAATTTCTCCAACCTCTGAACTGTCAAAGGAAATAATGTACCTCATCCTAGAGAAAACTTCAGTTTTTTCCTCTTTTTGAAAATTTTCAGTTTTTATATCATATTATATAAAACCTCCTCCTGATGGATTTCAAATTAAATATCTGTGTCTGATTCCTAACTAAGCCTGTGGTTTTGGCTTCTATATTTGGCAAACAATTCTCATCACATGCCCTGTATAATTTGCTGAAAAGATTTAAAATAGGATAAAATAATGTAGTAGAATAGTCTTGTATAACTGTTGAAAGGATTAGAAGTAGCATAACATCACCTGGTAGAGTCCCTCAAACTCGGTAGATATTCATTAAACAGAAGTTATTATTTTCCCTTGAGAATAATTCCTATTTCTGAAAAAATAACCCATGTATTTCTATATGTAGGCATCACAACAGAAAACAATGAATTAGTTGGATGCCTACACCTATAGACTGAATCACTCTGAACTCATAGCTTCAGCTGAATGTGACTTTGAACTAAGGTTTGAAGAAAACCTTTCCCAGTGACAAGGCCAATGTGAATAGAAATAAATGTAAAACAAGGTACAGTGCAATTAAGATGCTGAATCAACTAATAACTAAGCTTATAATTATTCCTTGATAATACCTCCAAATAGTCCAGGTTCAAAGTTTCAACTAATTGATAGATGAAATTTCTTTTTAGTGCTAAACAATGTAACTTATAAGCTATACAAAATCTAATGCTTCATCCTTTATCCTCAACTGAGAAGAGAGTTTGATCTGTCAGAGTTCTAATTCAGAGTATTCAGAGAACACATAAATTTCAACCTTCATATATTACAAATGCATGTGCCTAAGAAATGAAATAATATGATTTATTCCACAGAAAATACACAGAGTATAATTTTAACAAGAACATATGTTCAGACCTTCTCCAATCTGACATACTATTTTCTTAAACTATACCAATTTGAAGGCTCAATTAATGATGCTATTAATTACAAGCAACAGATTGCTTTTTAAATAGGCCAAATGGTAGTAAAACTCACTATCTCCCTTTACATAATTGTACTGCCTACATCGAGAAACACAGTTCTCATGTTATTTAATTACAATACTGAATGTACCACTTTAAAATAAATTGAAGAGGTAGGTGAAAATATATTTCTTCACTTTAAACATTTTAGGGACTTTTTTTTCCTCCAGAGATTACTACCTATTGCTATTATTAAAAAAATTACAT